TTTTATATATACTAATATCACTATCTATTTTTCTCTCAGTGTCTTAACATTCCAGCACAAAATAGTGGCCAGGCTCCAGCGAAGGATAGCTGGAGGACATCCCTTTGCGTGTGGCAGTTCAGTAAATTCGCGGCCAAAGGATGCAAGCTGATGCAAGACATTGCAACACAGCGCAATGCGAGTGCAATTTCAGTTTGCCTGCCGCTGGGCTTGGCCAAGACTGACGTCACATTTTGGGTCGCTGACATGGCGCCGCTCTAAATGACCCCCCTTCAGCACAAACCCCTTTTGACCCCGCCTCAAAAACTATATTTTGTTGCTTTTTTACGTAATCCAATTACAATTTAGTTGCCTCGCATCGTGTGTGTGTGTGTGACCTTATGGTGTCGACGGTTAGGCTATTGGTCACTATATTTTATGGACTCCCCACATAACGACCTCAACTGGAAACTTCACTCAACTAAACTCAATAGGTGGGCATGATATCAATTCCAGGGGAGTTACACAAAATACCACTCAACTTCCACCCCTTTTATTACTAGCTAGTTTAACCACTTTTCCCCCCTAATGTTTTATTTATTGGGCGGTAATTTGCCCAAAAGCATGCTATAAAATATTCATCGAATCACACACACACACACCTGCATAGGGGGTGCTGGGGATGAAAGCACACACACAATCATGAGATTCGTTCAGTATGCAAATGCAGATGTAAATCGCATTAGCCAGGCTGATTCTCTTCTTTACAGAAAGAGAAAATTAAATATATTTATAGGAAAGAACTATAAACTATAAACTATGATTTATGTAATTATAAAACTGTTTTTATCCTTCATTTCTAATGTCTAAATTCAAGAATACTTTCTAAATCTAAGTAAACAGATTTACCTGCTATTTAAAGGTATAATTTCTAGTCTATATCAATCGTAAAAATAAAATTCTACCAAAAAAATACTAAGTTGCTGGGAAAATTTATGCTCTATTCTATTTATTATTAATTTTTCCCTACATTGCGACAATAATTTCAAAGTTCAATTAAGATTATCTTGATTTTTCAGCTATATGAGGCTCAAAAAAAGTTGTGGTGATTTTATGTCGTTTAAAGCCGACATAATTTCTTCAACATAACAACACAATTTCTCCAGCATATCTTCTCCAACATAAACACCATCATTTTATTGCGAATATGTGACATTTAAAAATTGGTAAACTTATGTCTTCAAACAAAAGTCATCACCCCTTTTTAAACTGCACAAAAAAGACCCCCAAAAAAGCTCACTGCACTTCTCTGTTTCAATCTCCATCTCACTTTTGACCTTTTTGGAGAAGGGAAAGAATTTTCAGCGAAAACAAAAATAGAATTCAGCATGCTGGAAGGGGGGATGAGAACAAAGAATGGGTCCAACAACTGACCCCCTTCGCAGCCAGATTGCCTTCACCTCTTTCATGAGGGCTCACTTAAGGGGCGACGTTCTGCGAAATGAATGAAAGTGCAGTGCAGAGATTTGCTGAAAGCTTTTTTCACTTTCTTTATTTATTGTATCTGCTAGAAACTAAAAATCTTCTGTATTTTTAAACTATTCAATTTTAAATTTAATAAATTCTGTTCTGTGCTAAGAACTTATAAAGCGATTTATAGGAAATTTCTGTCAACAAGTTTATAGATTTCCTGGATATATTTAAACTCTCTTTACTAAGTATAAACATTTTTGTACTAAAAGAATTTAACTAGAATTTAAATAGAATTTAACTAGAATTGAAAACCGTGAAAATCATTCGTTCAAAGCCATAGTTAGCCCAGAAATGGAGGAGGCATCACACAAAATGCAGTCATGCATCGATTTTTGCGGTATTTATTTTATACGCAATTTCCCTTTCACCGCAGAGAAAAAAGCAATGGAAAAGCTTCTATATATAATATACATGTGTGTGTGTATGTCTACACCTTTGTATTGGTTGCAGGTGCAGCATTTTCGAATATTTATGCCAATGCAGTTTTTCGCACAGTTCTCCATGCGGGTGCTATTTGTTCGCACCCACTGTGCCACCCATACCACCCACCTCCCGGGGGGCCATAAAAATAAACAGCAAAAGACGTAGGGGGCTACAATGGCAATTATAAAGTCGCATACAGTTGAAAAAGTGAGTGCTTGTGCAGCTAATTGCGTATATATAAGATATACATAGATGTCAGTGGTCCCTGTATCAAATTATTAGGTAGGATCATAAGATATTTAGTTAAAAAAATAAAGTAAGACAACTTTAAAGCTAAAAAATTACAAGGTTACAATTTAATAACCAACATAAACCTATTAAATAGGAAATTTTCTTTCCTGATCATCAAAATCATAGAGATATTTTAAAGATTACTCTAATTATAAACCCCATTAAAGGCCCACCCTAATTTACACCTTCCTATATATATGTAGATAGGGTTTATGCCAGCCGTTATGGATACATATATCTATCTGAGCTATAAAGTAATACAGCATGCGAGTATAAATTTAATGACAGTTGCAAACCATAAAACAAACGATAAACAACAGCTACAAAAACCACGAATGACATCGAAACAAATGGTGCGTGTGCAAAAGTCCCGTAAACACACAACGAGGGTTCCCTGGAAACCACCTGGAAACCTCTATCCACCGCACACCACCCCCCTCCTCATATGCATATATATATATTCCCAGGTCAACAAAAAGCAAAAGTTATCTGCAAATCGATAAAGCGCTTAAAATATGAAAAAGTTGGGGAAAACAAGACAACAAAATGAATGTTAACTGTCTAATTGTTGTTAATATGTAAAGACAGTTCAATGGATTTTTGCTTGTATTCAGATTGGCTTAAATCACTCGTGTGTAAATGTATTTTTCGCATTGATTTTGCATATGAATATTGTATTCAAATAGTAATTGAAGTTGAATTTTATGTGACAGCTATCAGACGGTCAGCAAATTGCATCTCGACAACAATAATTGATGCCAAATCGGCTTTAAATATTCGTTTCATAGGGGAAAACTTTGCTACATGTAGGAAAATCTATTATCAAATATATAACCTTGAATTCAATATAATAGAAAATCAAAATATACAACCAACTATGTTACTATATATGAATGTACAAATAGAACTGCAGTTAAATTCATCAAATACTCTATGTTAGCTAGCGAAATGTGATCTCATCTTTTCTGTGTGTGACTTAATTCAATTAAAATTAGTATAAAAAGCCTTTTGTATAGACAACTAGACGTACGTCACATATGGCGTTCTTCTGATTTATTAAATGTATGTAATATGTACACAAAAAACAAAATAAAACGTCGAAGAAAAATGTTTTGATTGAAACTCAATTTTCAGATAAATATAGGCCAAGAAAATATGATCTCATCACTCTACAAAGATTAGATAATACAAATATAAGAAACATAAGTTAATTTGATAAATGAAACTAGAAAGCAAATAAAATAAACAGTTTTCCCTATAGGATATGGTTCTCCTTGGATTACCATTTGAATGCAAACGAATGCGGGTTAACTCAATTACTGAAATAATCTGCATAAGTAACTTAATTACTCCATTAAACTGATGAGTATGAGCCGGGAAATGGGCCTGCCTGCGGGAATCGGTTGCCTAGGAAACAGCTGTAAACACACAAGCAAATCGAATACGCACAGGTGTAAAATGGCAAACGAGCCAGTTAACCCCACGAAACACCCAAAAATTTGTCGACTACCGAGTAGCCTAGCAACCGGACCTGCCTGACAGACAGCCGACGGACAGACAGACAGACAGACTGACAGCGACGACTACTGGTATGTATGTAAATCAATTAACACCAACACATCTCGCATGGATGAATGAGCCCGCAGAGCGGAAGCGCGCTAAATGCCAAACAAAAGCCCAGTGTTAAGCGATAACGTGGCCCCCGGGATGGGAGGTTTTGGGTGGATCGGATTAAAGAGACGAGGGGTGGGGGTGGGGCGGAACTAGCCGGCTAAAGCGGGCAGATGATGAGTGAGCTGGAAATGTGAGGAGCAGAGCCAACACGCTCAACGCTCAATCAAAACAAACAAACCCCGGGAGCACCATTCGGAAATGAAAATCAAAACTGATAACTATACGTAAGCAAATCCAGAATGTACAAATACGGTCAAAGCAAGAGCTCAGATAACTATCTGGATTACAGAACTATTTTCAATTAGTTAATTCATTAATTACTATAATGTATTTCATTCAAGAGTTTAAAGTGGTAAATTTGTTCTTGATTTATGACCGGAAATTGAGTTGTTATCAAATGATCCATTTTATTAGTTTTGAATTTCCAATTTGCTAATTATAAGCACGTTCGGTGCATTAAAATACCTTTAAGCCTTTACTATAGTCGGAGAAAATGTATATTTTTAATAAAAAATCAATAATATATCAACTTTAAATAAAATAAATTAAAGAAGAGGGTAACTAACTTCGGTAACTTCATAACTAACCCAAAAATCTAGTAGTTTCAATTCGGAAATCTTGTACTAATTTTAGTTAGGTTAAAATTTAAAATAGATTTAAAAAATATACAATGAACAAAAGATTAAATTTAAATAATCATATTAAAAATGAAACCCGGTCTCGAAAACTAATCTTTAACAAAATCTAAAAATAAACTCCATTAAAAGTTTAAACGTTTGACTGGTGTCAGTTTTCAACACATTCCATTATGTTCGTTTGGTTCTGTTCTGGGTGCTATCATCTTGACCGCTATTGTGTTGGCAACATTGTGTGATTGTGATAATCGTTTGCATTAGATTCGAGTGCGAGTGTTCGAATCAAAAACAGTGAGGAGGGGGAGCGGGACAGAGTGATAGAACGTGTGTGTATGTGTGAGTGACATTGGCTGAAAGAGAGGGAGAACACGAAATGGAACGCAAACGACATCGAAACAAAAGGGGTGGGGGGAGGGGGGGTAAAATGGGGGATACTTTTCTAGGCAGAATGAACGGACGACTCACCTGTCGACTGACGCAGTCCGGCACTGTTGGGCGGCGTAATGCTGATCCCGCTGACACTGCTGGCGGCGCCAACACTGACGCCCAGCGATTGATTCGATGCGCCCATGGACACGGCAGTGGGGGTAACAGCACCGCCACCGCCCGCTGTGGGAATGGGCGCCTGGAGCTGAAGGTGACTGCCCGTGGGAACGCTGCTCGATTGTTGCTGTTGTTGCGGCGTCCCAGGCATTGAATGCGAATGCGAGTGCGTGGCAGAGGTGGAGCTACTGGGGGCCAATGAGTCACCACCGGCCGCCTGCTGCTGTTTGGCACTGTTTATCCGGATGGGGGTGCTGCTGCCGGTACCCGCCACTGGCGAGGCATTAGCGGGGTTAGCAGGCAAATTAACCGTTGCCGGGATACTGTTGACGGGGGTACTGGACATTGCCGACTGCATGGCTGGGAAATTCTCTTGTTTATTGCACAAAATTTGATCTCTTTGCTAGTTTTGTGTTGCTGCTCCTTTTGCTGCTTCTGCTTCTTCTCGTTTATTCGCCTTCCCTTTTTGCCCTTTCTATCAATGAGGCATTGCTCCAGTTGTCGTTTTCACAAATACACATACATTCATACTCCCCACACACTCACACACACACACACTGCACGGCCGGACGCAGGCCAATTATTGATTTTGTTTTACCCGCTCAAGAGTTTTTCCCTCCTTTGCCTTAATTTTTTTTGTTTTGCACTGCAATTTTGTATGTTCTTTATCCCGTGGCTACGTTGACTTTTTGTGTTATGGCCATAAGAGAACGAGAATTGGAAAAATAAGAATTAAATCGAAGCCGTGGGAGCGCGTGTGTGTGAGTGTGTGATTAGAAGCGTTTTCTTCGGCTCAGCTGGTCAGCATGTGAAATGGATCGAAACAAACGGCGGCCACGTAACACCGTTTATTCTCATTTCTTTTTTGTATTTTATGTTATTTTTTTGGTACCAATTAGTGGCAGAGTTAAAGAAAAGTGCTGCTGCTAGCACCAGTACGATTCTCTCACACTCACACACACACACGTTCACTAGCGCACGTTTTGTCACACACTTTTTCGTTTTTCGCTTTTGGTCGCGGTTTTCGGCTATCGCTCTCCCTCTCCCACTCGTGCTCGCTTTCACGGTCCGGCGTCGTTGGCGTTTCGCGTCCAACTGAAGCTGCAGTCGTCGTCCGTATTCCAAAAAGCTAAACTTGTTTCTTTTCGCTTTCGTATGAGCTCATCCACCACCACTGCGAACCCCCACAACCGCAAGCACCGCGCCCCTCACACCACCCAGTGACCGGACGAACAGGCGGCGGGCCAAGACGCTGGAAGTGCAAAAGCGAAACAAGCTTTTCATGTTTTTTTTGTTTTGTTGTTTTTGGGGAGGATTACAAGGGCCGCGTCAGCTGTCCCAAGTGTGCAGCCCTGGTTGGCCAGGGCGGCAGGCCAGCTCAGTGCTAGTAACAGAATCTGTTAACTGTGATGTTAAAAAAATTAACATTACAGTCGGTTCCCGAAAATGGAACCCTGTGAGATCTAGTTTTAGCAAAACAAAAATACATATAATAAATTTAAGGTTTTATGACCTTTGAAATAATGTATAAGGTACAATTGGCAATGGGTTGTTTTTAAACTTTATTTATATATTTGCTACACTTTACTGAAGGTTCATAACCGAAGAATTTCATATTTTTAGGAAATTTGAAAGCAACATAATTATGTAATTGCTGTTGTCATGGAATGCACAATGTACAATTTATCTACAAGAACAATTGAAAATGATGGATTAAATCTAAACATTTTGAAGAAAACAGTCTCGGCACCTCTCATCTATCAGATCTCCGTCAGATCCCCGCCGCTGTGGATGACGGACATCACACGCCATGTCATGGACTCGTAGAGCAGCTCGATCTTGTCCACCATCTCCTGATCGCTGTGCCACACGTCGTACAGCACGGAATGAAACTCCTGGACGTTGTTGGGAGCCTGTTTCTGGATCCTTGGCTGGATGATGGCCATGAGCTGCTCCAGGAGATTAAGGTCACTGCAATCGGTGCCTCCGGGTCCCATCAACGTGTCCAGAAAGATCTCTTTCGGTGGTGATCCATCCACGAACTTTAGGTCGTCCATGTTGAAGATGTTGCGCCAATCGCGCACTGTCCAATCCTGATGCGCAGTTGCCCAGGCTACCCTTTTGTTTCTTGTTTCTACGCTGAGACTAGGAGGTGATCCTTGAGCCTTGGTGGGCAACCGACTCTCCTGAAACTGCTTGGCGCGAATCTCACTGATCCGGCGCTGCAGTGTGCGGCGGCTCACTTCGATGCCATGGCGTGCCACCAGCTCCCGCTGCACATCGATAGAGGTGTAGTAGGGGTGATCGATGAGCATCTTTTCCACAATCTGTCTGTTCTCCAGGATCTTAGGTCTGCCCACCTCACGTTTCTTCTCCTCCTCCTGAGTGGGCTGCGGCGTCTTTGGTTTTTGCGGTAGCCTCAGCGTGGCTGTCTTGCCCTCCAGGAGCTCACACTCCCGAATGCAGCTTACCACACTCTCCACATCACACTCCAGGATCTGGGCAATCTCCTGGCAGCTATTGGAGTTCTTCAGAGCCTTCACAAGAGTACGCACCTCAGCACCTAGGACCATTTTCACAGCTTGAACGTCACAAATCGAATGTTGGCTTTGGCAATCCCACGGAGGGTTTATATGCACAAATATGAGTGTGTGCCGATCAGGTAGGACAGGGTTAAGTTTCGGTACCGATTTTGTCGTTGTCTGCCTGTGGATTGGCAGGATTTTATGGCGAGCAAGCTGCAGCTGAATTTCCCGGGATTACGGCGTCAGGTAAATATCGCTTCTAATGGCGCCGTCCCTTTCTGTTGCGTCCCTCTGTTATTCGCAATCGGCAGGGCTGCCAACCCCTATTGAAGATCCTGCTGTAAATGTCATTAAATTAACCCTTAAATTATTTAACAAAAAAAAGTTACGTGCAGGATCTCCAAGGGAATTTAGGTGGAAGTCCTCTTTCTTATATATTCAAAGATTAGATTCTTTAATTTAAATCCCTAAAAACTTAAAAAATACAACTGTATTTTAATCACCTTTTCGAAAATATTTGTTATATTAACTTTAAAATAATTAAAATTTAAGATTGGTATTTAATTTAAACTGTCAAATATTTTGAATCTATATTTAAAGTAAATAAAATTTAATGTTTTTTAAATAATAGTATAAAAAATATTATTTTCTGAAAAATATTTATTGCTTAAAAGCAGCTGCACTTCATGAATTTAGTGGCGTATGAAAAATAAAGATAACGTCACCCGTCACCCATGACAACTTATATTTCTGCTAATGCTATATCTAATTTAATTATTAATCATATTTCCAATTAAATTAGCAAAAATCCTGTGAAATTTTTATTTTATCAAAAGCTCAACCAAGAACTGCAATCTGAAAATATAAAGAATGCTGCAGGAAACCAAATACCAAGTCATTTGAAATTAAGTCCAAGTTGCCTTGTTTTAAACATGCAATTTAATAGTTGATTTCATTTTTGATGCTTTTGTAGAATTACAAAAATAAATATAAAAAACTTGTACATATGTGTGTTAGTTATCTCTCTCTACAGTAGGAAAATGCAGTACACCGTTGTTATACTGTTAAAAATATATATGCCAGATGCTTTTGTTTGTCTTTTATGCTGTGTTAGTTTGATCCTTTTCACTTGTTTCACCTTCAACATTGCGAAACCATCAACTGAACATGTATATTTTCATAGTGCACAATGATTTGGAATTACAGAATACCATAAAGATCAAATTTTGAGTAATATTAGCTTAAGCTCGCTAGGGTGGCTCAGCCGTCGAGGCAGCTGATTGAACTGATAGACAGATATTAAAGCACATAATCGGGGGCAGTGGGGTAAAAGGCAACCGAATAAGCCACTTATTCTATGTGGGGATGTGGGGATGCGGGAGCCGCCGTAGCATACCGATCAGAATCGTATAATTAAATAAATAACGCTAAAGTACGCCTAATTGGTTTAGATCCATGTGCTAGGTTTTGATTTGTGTATCTGTTTTGTTTTCCCCATCGCTTTTGAGTGTTTCTTTGTGTGGGTGGAGTGTGGGGCTGGAGCTGGGGGAGCTGGTATCGACGAAAGTGTGGGATCAGGCTGCCCGTAGTTAGTCATCCAGATCGATATCGGAGTCATCCGAGTCGTAGCCGCCGCGTATTGTCTTCTGTGGGCGGTTCATGAACGGCTTTCGCTTCACATCTGGCGGCTGCATCAGATCCCCCTTGTAATCAATAGCCCCCGAGTGGGCGATGCGCCACTCCAGCATCTCTGTTGCAAAGTCATCGCAGTTCCCGAGGTCGGTGAAGCCGACAATGAAGTCCTTGGTCTTGCTATCCTTCACCAGGGCAATGGTAGGGATCACCTTGATGCGCAGCCTCTGCGTAAGGAATGGTGTCTTCTCCGCATTTACCTTGCAGAACTTGGCCTCCACGTGCTTGGCGGCAAGGATCTTCAGGTGCATGTCCACGATTTTGCAGCGTTCGGTGCTATCGCGATAGAAGTGACACACAATGTTGGGTGATTTTTTCGACATCTCGAAAAACTCCTTTTCGTCGGCAAGTTCCGAGTAGGTGCCGTGGCCCTAAAGGAAAGATTTACCACATAAGTTCATGATAGTTATCGAGGAGATAATTTCACTTATTGGCAATGGACCACATACGTTTCTCAGCCACTCCTGCTTCTTGTTGTTGAGCTCTTTCATCTCGCGAAGCCGCTGCTCTCTCAAGGCCTTCAGGTCATCCGAGTCTAAGTTGTCCAATCGGTCCAACTGCTGGTCCAGCTGCTGCTCAATGGTCTTGGCCGCAGTGAACAGTTGATTCTCCAGAAGGTTCGCCATGTCTGAAATGTCCACTTGCTTCTGCTAAGCTATGCTCCTCACTTGTTTTCTTTACTCTATTTTTCCGACTCTCGCCTGTTTGCACTCTGCGTGTGGTACCAAAAGAGTGTGTTGGAGCCAAGGTGCGTGTGTATGTGGGTTCCGGCACAAATGGAAAGGCGTAGCCATGGAGCCGAGCCGCAGATGCGTCATGTTTTGGGGAAAATTCAGTTAAGTAAGCATTGGAACCACGAGTTTGGGGCGCGGATTGGTCGAAGCGGTCATAAATCGATTATTTGAATAATACTCACGTTTGTGTTTCACTTATTTCATAGATTTTACTGAATTTAAGTTTATTTATACGTAGGGTTGTTGTTGACTAGGGTTGTAGAGCTGCACAAATTTATTTCACATTCGATACTATCGACGTTCAAAAATACAACTAGATTTAACGCCTTGTCTCCAACTGAATGTACACAAATAATTCGAGCAAATGTTCTTTACTTTAAAATATTCGGCTTTTGATTGTTTTTTATTTTATAACTTGATAAATTCTTTAAATCCAGCGTGACCGGCTACCGCAGAGACAGTGCTTCCGCTGGTGTTTTTTGATTACGTACTCAAGGTCACACTAGGGAGCTTATTCTTTGAAAAATTCTCTAGAATTATTATACCTTAATTATTTATTTATCCTTAAATTTACTTAATTCTGATAGAAATATTTTTAAATGCAAGTCAAGCGCAAGAATTCTAATTAACACCTATATTGGATATCGATGTTTCGCTCCCTTCAAAATACCGATAGTATCGATAGTGAAATCGATGTTCTATCATCTCTATCATCTCTAAGACTTTTGATTGTTTGTATCGGCGTCGGTTCGAAAATTTTTCTGCAATTAACTGTCGTGTGTGTGGAACAATTGTCAATTGCTGTTGTCTTTGTTGAACAAATTAAAAGGTTGGTGTGATTCCCTTAATAATACTAGTATTGCGATAACAAACAGTTTTGTAAACCGGCAAGGATGCGCGAGGGTCCTTTGTTGCGGTAGGATGTGAAAGCTGGTGTAGATAAATTTTTTTTGCGCGTACGAAACGAAAACCGGGCGCCTTCGAAATGGCGAAAAGTGTGCAAACTCAAAGCAGATAAGTGTGGCTGCTGGGTGCATTCTAAAAGGCCCCCTTGCAGGGTTTCTGTAGCTTACCCAAGTTCTATGAGTTTTATTGTTATCTCCAACTGCATTACAGCTAATTGCTGCGACTGCAGCAGCCGTGCCGCCATTTTAAAAAACGAACGCGGTATCTGAGCCTCAGACAATTGCCTGGTACAGTGGTGGCAAAGCATAAAGGTCAGGGTCGGCAGCTACACTAACACAGGAAAAGATTTCTAGCTTACAATTATAATGGGAAGGTTTTAAATTCCAAAACAGAATAGGATTCATGCTTATTATTTTATGACATGTAAAATAATATCTAATGTGGCTTGTCTGTGATATGGCCATGTGCAATGTTTTGGCGCGCACTGTAAGCCGCCTTTTCATACCCACACTCACACAAGCAGCCAGACGCTCTTGTGCACATGTGTGAGTTGAGTATTCTGCTTTTTTATTTTCGAAAAAGGAAGGGCCGCGCTGTCTTGTGTTTATGTTATGGTTTATTTTTCTGCTGATTCGATCGCGACTCGTTGAAATTGATTAACTAGTGTTGGGGCATTAAGCACTCGAGCATATAAACGGGCATTTATGCTCGTGGGTTTAATCAACTCCGGGAAGCGAAGAATGCCAAAACAAACGACGAAAAAGAGAATTACAATCAAAGAGGGCTTGCCGCATAACTGCATTTTACTGCCTATAAATACATGAACGTGCATGAACGTTTGTGTCGCTGTTGTGTGTGTTCGTGCAATTGCATTTATTATTTTTTTGTTTTATTTTCCCAGCTGCATTTATTTTTTGATTTTTCTGTTGGTTTTGCAGCATCGTTCGTTGTCCGCGATTTTTCGCATTCGCATTTCCACTTTCTAAAAAGAAAACTCAAGACCTCTGGGTAGGCGCTGCTTGCGGCAATTTCTTTCTAAACGTCGACCCCTTCCCTTTGCCTCCCTCCCATCCCGCCACTTAAATAAATGCACCTGGGTGCAACTAGTTTTGATACCCTTACTGTGGCGTATGTCATTAATTTCTTCTAATCAACTAGTAATATGACATGTTAAAAAATTTAGTTTTTAGTAATGTCGTCATACTTTTTCTGACTATATAAAATTAATTAAAATAAACAAAATAATAGTAAAAATAATTCTCAAAAAAATAATATTAATAAAAATAATACACAAACAAATAAAAATAATAAAAAAAATCTTGACCGACACCCAAGATAGCCTTGTTTTGTAAAACAAATTAAAGAAACCGGTTCTTAAACGGATGTGTCCTTAAATTTGTAACCATTGAAAAATGGAATAATTAAGTTTCGGTTTCTCTACTTTACTATAAATAACGTTAATGTTTTTTTGCAATGGTATTTAGGAACTCTTTAAAGCTGTATATATTTAACAATAATGAGGGTATTTAATGCCTCGCTGTTTCTCCTTTTCCATTTTCGCATTTATCTGGCATCGAGCTGTCTGTCTTGTTGTAGGTCGGCCTATGGCAAGAAATTTCTTCTTGATTTCTTGCATTTTCCTTAGCCTTCTTATGAGTAGCACCTTTTCGTTCGCTTCTGTCGTTGCAAGTTATTTCACTTGCAAACAAAACGAAAAAAAAAAAAGTAAAAACATTGCTATTCTGCAGCATTTTGCTTGCGTGTTTGCTAAGTTTGTTGTGTTTCACTTTGTTTTGAATGCATTTAATAGAACGGAAGCCAGTTAAAAAAAATATTGGTAGGGGAGCGGGATCAGTCAGGCAGAACGAAAAACTATAATGAGGAGTACAAAACGGAAAATGCCACCCTAAAATAAGGAATACAAAGAAATGAAGACATTTTTAAAGTTTAAATTAGCATATGTCGCCGGGTGATTGGTCATCCCAGGTAATAAACGCATCCTAATCTGCGCACACATGTCCGCCATAAATGGCAGCTGCCTCGGCAGGTAGATATTCATATTCCCTTCGCTGATTACTGCTGCACAAGTACCTGCACTAATCCTGATCCTCCCGAAAAAGTACTTAAACACAGCGCAGAGTGAAAATCCTGCCAAGTTAAGCCTCAGCTGTGAAACCGTCAAGACGTGATAAAACGCAAAGCGCCTCTCCCAGATTAACAATACTCTCAACGTAGTGAAGAAACCCAGAGACCTACTGTGATTATAAAAACTCTCATATTAAGCAGTGCAACTGTTCTAGGTGGGTTTTGGGGTTGGGGTTCCACTTTAGAGCCGGTCTCGACCGCATTCCTTGTGTAAACAAACCGCAATGTTCTCGCTCGTATGCCGTGTTTACATTAATTTTCGTTTTCAGTGATGCAAGCAAAACTCAATCTCGACTAATACAGTTTTTTCCTATTTTATGTCCCTTGCAGAGATCTTAATTTAACGGCCCACAAGTATTGTAACACAAATGTTAAGCAAAATGGCTCAGCCGAACAATGTTGGAGGCGGAGCCGGTTCAGGCTCAGGACGTCGTCTTCCCCTCTCGCTGAGCGGTGGCAGCCAGGTGTCCCGACTGCAGCAATCGTCAACTGGAAGCAACGGCCGTTCAAACAGTCCCCAGAATGGCAACAACAAAAAGATTACAGAATCTCTTATTCCACTGAAAAAGACAACACAGCAGCGAAGCTCCTCCACAAGCTCCTCCGCCTCCTCGGCCAGCGTCAAAGAAGAGGACAAGAAGAGCCAGAATGGTGCCACAAAATCCACTAATGGCAAGGAGAAACCGCCACAGAATGGCAGCTCAGTCGCTAGCAAAGATCAAAAGGAGCAAAAATCAAAGGACAAGGCTTCCGAAAAGAAGGAGAAGGAGATTGTTGTAGCTGAGAAGCAGCAGGAGGTGGTAGTGGTAAATAAGGAAATCGTCGAACAGAAAGAAACCCTATCGGAAGCAAAGAAGGAAGCTACAACCGAAGCTGCCTCAGCCACTGCTCAACAAGCTCCTGAAGTTGTTTTGGATGATAATGTCGTTGTAGAGCCTACCACTCCCTCAAAGGATCGGAAGTCCACACGAAAGGCCGGTCAGCAGAAGTCGCCGGTTACCAAGGTGACCCCATCATCGTCACCGGCTAGCAAGGTGACCCCCTCATCGTCTCCGGCACAGGTGAAAAAAACTGAAGTTAAGGAAGTTTTGCCACCACCGGAACCACAGGAGGATGTGGAGATGGAGCCACTGACTGTAGATGCTTCACCCATACGCAGTGCCAGCGGTAATCTGAATGCCCTGCCGGCGGCCACTTCCACACCGGGACGCAGCCTCTTCGGTTTCCGCAGCACCAGCAAGCAAAGCACCGAGGTGGAGCTAGCCACCCAGACCTCCAGCTCGCCGGCCGGGACTCCGGCCCGCAATTTTGCCCAGATTACCGGCAGGCGCAGCATACGACCAATCAACACGCTGACACCCTCCAAAGTGGGCAGCTACAGGTGTACCACCAGTGACCTGGATACTTCAAGCTGCACGAACGCCAGCATGAATGCCACCGTGGGCTCGGAGATACCCAACAGCTCATCGTTTTCATTCTCGTTCTTTGGACGTGGACGCAAGCGTGAACGCACTCCCCCGGCAGTTTCGGGATCTCAGTCGACCAATAATTTGGCCCAGGATGTGGAAATGTCGCCGCCGAAACGGGCCCGCTTCGAGATGTTCAGCCTTCGAAACCTGGCTTCGCCCTTCAGCTTGCTGAGCTCGAAATTCTCTAAGGCGACGATTGCCACTCCGACCCGCCTCCGCCTGGAGCAGACTCCGCCCGGCGATGACGATGGCGAGGTGCAGAACGTATCCCACATCGTGGTCGAGGAGGACAATCAGCTGAACTCATCGTCAGTTAGCGTGCCAGAGGCTCAGGACGCTGAGCAGGCCAACAAGGACTTGACTGTTGGCCAGGAGGCCGGTCTGGAGACGCCGAAGAAGGGCGGCTCACCCGTTAAAGAAATTCCCGCCGAGAAGGATGTCGCCGAGGGCGTAGATATCGCTGAGCAGTCCGCAGATGGCGAGAATATCCCACCACAGGAGGCGGTGGCCGAAGTCGAGGTCCGATCCCGCTGCTCAATAATGTAAAGCAAACAAATATGATAACCGGAACCCCCTTCCCCTATAGTTGATAAGCTTATGTCTTCTTTACGTAACCGTACGCTGTCCTTTTTTTGTAATTTGTGTTCAAACGTAAAATTACATGTTAAAAGAGATGTGCTGCCGCGAAAAATTTTTAAAGACAGACAGGCTAGATTACATTTTCTATTAAGAAAAAGAATTCTGCCACACCTGCGATTCACCTAATCAGAGCCTTGCATTCCTTGCTGGATGGCTGCCCCTAAGGGGTTTCCAATCCCGCGCTGCCATCCACCGACGAATCGAGAGCTCTGCAGGCCAGCAAGTACCCACTGAAATTGGGTACCAAAAACAAAGAAAATAACACAAAAAAAAGAAAACACATTTTTGTAGCCGTAATCTGTGTAAGAAGTAAAATGTTTTATTTACCATAACATATTTTTATGGAAGTCTCATCTTTTCGACAGGAGGATATACATTTAAGTTACAAGAGATACATATGCAATAGGCTATATATGATTTATAAAAATGTAACGCGTATTTTATAAATAAAGTGCATTTTTGAACAACATGTTTAATTGGTTACATTTTAATGTTCCAGAGACTTGCATTTAATTAAAAGCTATAACTATATTCTTACAATTTTGAGTATTAAATCCAAGAGGAGAAATGTGTATGTTATTAAAAATAACTATCTGTTTTTTTTCGTTTTTATCGAATAAATAAACTGACAAGTGATCGTTAGTTTATTTTTATACCCTTGCAGGGTATTATATCAGTCAGAAGTTTGAAACGCAGTGAAGGAGTGACCTCCGACCATATAGAGTCCATATATTCTTGATCAGCATCAACAGCCGAGTCGATCTAGCCATGTCCGTCTGTCCGTTTATACGCAAACTAGTCTGTCAGTTTTAAAGCTATCTGAATGAAACATTGTAGTAAGTCTTCTATATACTCTCACTCGTATATATGCCGGATCGGACAACTATATCATATAGCTCCCATAGGAATGATCGGAAAATTAAAAAATAAAAATTATAACATTTTCAACAGAATTTAATCAAACTTAAGATATAGCCATTTTATATTGCTCTACAATTTTTTTGTAAAATTTAAGGAAAATCGGGCTACTATATAATATAGCTCCCATAGGAAAGATCGGGAAATAAATAAAATTTATTTATAACTTTTTTAGTTTTCAGCATACTTTAATCAAATTTAAGTTATAGCCATTTCATATTATTCTAAAATTTTGTGTACAATTTTATAAAAATTGGACTACTATATCATATAGCTCCCATAGGAACGATCGAGAAATTAATAAAATTAAAAATTATTACTTTTTTACTTTTCAACAGAATTTAATCAAATTTGAGATATATTCTGTTGAAAACTAAAAAAGTAATAATATTTATACTATTCCACAAATTTGTTTTAAATTTTATGAAAATCGGACGACTATATCAAATAGCTCCCATAGGAACGATCGAGAAATTAATACAATTAAAATTATTAGTTTCAGTTTTCAACATATTTATACCAAATTTAAAATATAGCCCTTTTCTATTATTCTATAATTATAATTTTATGAAAATCGGATGACAATATCATATAGATCCCGTACAAACGATCTTTAGATATAGAGGAAAATGCAAAACTGTGAGTGTAAAACTGTAAACATGAGAACCGTATAAGTTGGCTTTGACTTCAAAAACTGAAATACAAATTATATACAGATTCGAAAAATCATTAAAAGAGAAGATAAATTTAAAAATAAAAAAAAAAACGAGAAAATGGGAAATTTTTCTTTCCTACAGTGTTCGAAAATGTTTTAAGGTTTGCAGTATTTTTTATAGTATTTTCCGTTTTCCCAGCGTTTGGTCACACAAGCCGAGTTGTTCGCAGCAAAAAAAAAGAGAGATTTGTCGGATTAGATGAGATACCAACGAAAAAATTATTAGTCAACTGTCCCAAGAAGCAACGCCACTCCGAGACCGCTCCACGCCAGGCCACTCCAATCCATTCCGGTCCAGTCCAGTCCAATCCCAGTCCAGCAGCGAGTAGAGAAGAACTCCTCCTCCTCCTCCGACAGCAGAGCCCAAGAGCCACGACCGAAGAGGAGGGCAGAGCGAAAAGAGCGAACAACGAAGTGTGAAGAAGCAGCGCCAGCATGTCCTGGACGGAGAAAGTGGACCCGGAGCTGATCTTCACCAAGCAGGAGCGCATCGGCAAGGGCTCCTTCGGCGAGGTGTTCAAGGGCATCGACAACCGCACCCAGCAGGTGGTGGCCATCAAGATCATTGATTTGGAGGAGGCCGAGGATGAGATCGACGACATCCAGCAGGAGATTATGGTGCTGTCGCAGTGCGACTCGCCATATGTCACCAAGTACTATGGCAGCTTCCTCAAGGGCACCAAGCTCTGGATCATCATGGAGTACCTGGGCGGCGGCTCCGCATTGGACCTGATGAAGGCTGGCAGCTTTGAGGAGATGCACATCGGGATCATTTTGCGCGAGGTGCTCAAGGGTCTGGACTACCTGCACTCGGAGCGCAAGCTGCATCGCGACATCAAGGCGGCCAACGTGCTGCTCAGTGAGCAGGGCGACGTCAAGCTGGCGGACTTTGGAGTCGCCGGCCAGCTGACCAACACCACCTCCAAGAGGAACACGTTCGTGGGTACGCCCTTTTGGATGGCGCCGGAGGTGATTAAGCAGTCGCAGTACGACGCCAAGGCGGACATCTGGTCGCTGGGCATCACGGCCATTGAGCTGGCCAAGGGCGAGCCGCCCAATTCGGAGCTGCATCCGATGCGCGTCCTCTTCCTTATCCCCAAGAACAATCCGCCCCAGTTGACGGGCAACTACACCAAGTCGTTCAAGGACTTTGTGGAGGCCTGTCTGAACAAGGATCCGGAAAATAGGCCCACGGCCAAGGAGCTGCTCAAGTATCCGTTCATCAAGAAGGCCAAGAAGAACGCATACCTGATCGACCTAATCGACCGCTTCAAGAAATGGAAAGTGTCCAAGGGCGATGAGAGCGAGACGGAGTCGGAGAACTCGGACTCAGACTCCGATGCCAAGCAGGGAGGCAGCAGCCAGGACGAGCCCTGGATCATGACGGTCAAGGGACTGCATATTAATAGCGCTCCGCGGGCGGGCGTCAACAGCTTCCAGCTGCAGGAGCACGAGCTGACCATGCAGAAACTGATGCAGACCACACATTCGCCTGCAGGCAGTGGTCCGGCCGCCTCCGCCTCCGCGGCCGCCGCCGTAGCCTCTTCCCCTTCCGCCTCTGTGTCCGCCATAGCGGCATCCGCATCCTCCGTGTCCGTGATCACAGCTAACGAGGTTGTGGCATCCGCATCTTCGTCCGCCCTGCCCCCCCAAGCCAGCCACAACCACAACAACGTTAACAGCAGCAGCAGCAACAATAACAACAATAATAATAACAATAACAGCCACAACAGCAACATGAGCAACAAGCACGCCACCACCACCATGCTGAACGCAACTCCTCTGCCGAGCTCCGTGACCAGCTCCTCGTCGGCCAGCGAGCTGCAGCAGAAGCGCTCCAGTTCGAAGCCGGAGTTGCGTCAATCACGCTCAGCCGCACCGCTGGATCAGGTGGAGGATCGTCGAGCCTCCCTGGGCCTGCCCCTGCAGTCCACGGCTTCAAACCTGTCGCAGGCCGAGCAGCAGCAGCGTCGCAGCAGCCAACGTGAATCATTCCATTCGACTAACGCCGCCGTGGCCGCAGCCGGCAGCAGTGGTGGCCACAGGGAGAGCCACAGGGACCGGAACAGGGAGAACCACAGCCACAACAGTAACAACCACAGCCACGAGGAGCTTGAGGTCAGCAACCATGCGAACCACGCCAAGCAGGCATCGGCGGGACAACGCGTCATGCAGACGAACAGTGCCTGTTTGAACAACTTCCTATTCCCCGTGCTGACCGACATTCAGCGCAAGTATTCCGGCGGTGGCGGCGGTGTCAGCGGAGCCGGTGGACCCGGACGTAACCTAGGCGTTGGCAGCGACATTGGCGACCTGAAGTCTGTGTTCGAGCTGGCCGAGCGCTCCAGTCCCGGTGTGAGCGACCTGTTCATGAAGGAGCTGATCCACATGCTGGTGCCGGGATACTCGGAGACGCGCATCAACACAATCATGGACCGCGCCATACGCAATCGCAAGTAGACCAGAAGTAGCCTCTATTCCGATTCCAAGCAACAACCTACTATATACTATATACATATAAACACACCATTATTAACGAGACCGAGACGAGACCAGAAGCCGAATAAAACATATTCCGACATTTAGTGGCCAACGGAGGAGCGGTAGCGGGAGCGAGATGTACATGTATTTTCAATTGAACAGTTATTTAAGCATACAATATGTATTCGTTTGTTTATCTGCAATATTAATCTAATGTAAAACATATATGACTTCAGAATAAAAAGCCCACAAAAATGAATCATTTGAATTTGGCGCACTCTGCGCAGCGATTTATTTCCTTTTCTAATTAAAGTTAACAACCTTTTCATTTTTGGTTTTTGGCACCTTTTTTATCCCAGTTAACAACTCTTTTTGGTTTTTGAATTGGGAAAATTGAAACCGTACTTTAAAGTGAAAATTTTTCTGGCATTTTGTTTTGGTATTTTTTTGGCGCTTTGGCGACGGGCACACTGCACGATCAACCAAACAGCCATTTTGCATTTTAATTCAATTCGATGTCTTTTTTTTCGGCCCCCAACGCATTGGGCAGGATAATAAATCCAGGAGAAACGGATAATCCCTTAGACATGTCGCGGGAGCCACTAGTGAACGAGGAAAGGCTGGAGACGCTGGTCTACCACCGCTCCAAGCAGTGGTCCAGCCTGATGAAGGTGAGCTCGAGATTCCCTGTTAGCGTCGTTTGCTCAGCAATCTTTGTGTTTTGTTTTTCCAGAATTGGACGGATGGAGACGAAGGGCAGGAGCTGTGTGTCTCTGACCTGGAAGAGATATTCAAGGACGAGCATGAGGATCCCGAAATGGATGACGAGGAGGCCATTGAGGATCCCGTTCCGGAGACGAAAGTGGACATGGCCAACATTAGTGCCAGCATGGGTGTGGCGGAACTGACACTTATTCTGTGCGCGAGCGAGGACAACGAGGCCAAGGCCGAGATGCAGGAGATCCTTAACCAGACAATGCCCGTTGTCCAGGAGCACAAGCGAAAGTGGAAAGAGGCTGGGCTGGACCGCATTCTGGACACCTTTGACGAGAAGCAAATTGAGCAGCATGTGGGACAGTGGATGCGCCGCAACAACAGTGCTTTTGTGGAGGAGGCCCCTCCTGCCAAGTTCCTGTATGTGTTAGACCAAGCCTCCATTTCGGAGGTCAGCGATAACGAGTCGCTGCACTCCATCGACACGGCCCGCTACATTCGGCAAAGCCGGCGGCGCGTGCCCAAGAAGATCTCCAACACGGCCACCATTAAGATGTACCGCACGCACTCCCATAAGCGGGACGAGCTGCGGGCCAAGTATGCGTACGACGATGAGCAGGAGCATCGACACCACATGCAGACTCTGCTGCACCGACGGCGGGAGAAGGAGCGACAGGTGACTTACGTCAATGCATCACCACAGCACTGCATGCTCTCGAGCGGCCATCATCCGCGGCGCAAGCACAGGCGCAAGCGACACGCCAGCTCGCCAGTCTTTGACTTCTCATCCAGCGATGAAGATGATCGGTCTTATGGCCGGTGCGCCTGCCGCTCCTGCATGTCACATCACTCGTTGTCCAGGAGTGCATCCTACCAGTGCTACTCATATAGGGGACCCCGAGATTGCCACCACCACCACCGCTCGGTGGCTTCACGGACTATGCATCATCTGCGCCGCCAGCACACCTTCGACATCGACATGGACTTAAGGCCACGTATGCGGGAGAACGAGTGTAATTGCTGCACCAGCGACCGGCTTTGCTCCAATGTAGTGCACATCGCAAATAGCTCTACTGAGGAGTGGGTTGTTGAAAACTGCAGTCCCTTGGTTGTGGAGACACCAAAAAATTACCGGCGGCAGCAAAAGCAGAAACATCAGTTGGTGGCCATAACAAAAAGCAACTCGAAATCAGCTCTGTCCAAGTGTCATAAGCAGAGATTACCGAAAAGTTTGAAGACTGTCACCGCTCCCAAGTTGCTCAAGGCACAAGTTAGTCTTCTTGGTGACACATCTGATGATGAAGTTGAGGACTCGCCAAGGATACGCAAGATAAAGCCAGTGGCATCTGCTCCTGTTACTGCAAGAAAGATTCTCAAAGCGGCTCCTTCAACTTTTAAGCAAAAGCTGATTCCACCTAAACAGGACAAAGGTCTTATCAATTTGAAGATAAATCCAGCTGACATTGTCCAATCGTCTGACGAAACCGAAGATGAAGTTCAGAGCTTGGTGGCAAAAAATTCAAAGAAAGAATCTGGATCAGTGAGCTCCTTTGAAAAGAAGACGCCTTCTTCGAACAAACCTATTTACCGGACCACCAATCGATTATCCAAAATCCCCGAAGAGGTGACCAGGCCCAAGGATCCAGAAGATGAAAATCCAGCTTCTTCTACTAAAATCTGTAAAGAGAAAGAAACCTGCTTAGTTGAAAAGGCTTCCTCGAAAGCATTAGAAACCAACTCTAAGCAGCTCCTGGACGAGCAAAAGACGCATAAGAAATTAATGACATCGAACCTCGTCCCCGTCGTATCTTCCGAAAGTAATGAATTTGGGACTTCCACCAAATCTCGAGGAAGACCAAAGAAGATTGCTACTCTGAACGAAGGACCAATTGATCCTAACACAGACATTGTCCAATCGTCCGACGAAAGCGAAGATGAAGTTAAGGGAAGGAGCCGATTGGTGAGTTTTTCGACATCAAAACAATTAAAGGCAACACCTGGGACCGTCAAAGTTGCCGTGGAATCTTCTCCTCCTAAGAAAGGTGCGACTTCCAGCAAGTCTCGAGGAAGACAAGCAAAATGTCCTGCTGCTCCGACAAGGAAAAAAAGGACGCCGATGAAAACCAGCTCCAGCGCTGGTGCAAAGGACAATGCTGCGATTCCATCTCCCGACTCCCAGGAAATCGTAGCCGAGAAGATCAAGGCTTCAAAAGCTAAAACTTCTAATCGAAAGTCAAAGAAAGTGAAATCAAGCGACTCTGCAAGTCTGGATAAAGCAACAGACTCGGACGAATCGGACTTCCAGAGAGCCCTGGCCTTGTCCGCGGAAACGTACAAGGATGAGCAATTGAAGCGGGCTGGGGATTCAGCTACGCCACCAGAAAATCAGCCTCAGTCGCAGTCACAGTCGCAATCTCAGCTTATGTTCAACAATAACAGCGTGGCCTGCAATTCCACAGCTTTGGCCAATGACACGGCCTGTTCACGAGTGCTTTCCCCGTTGAAGTGTGGCTCTAAAAGGGCAGCAGCTGTTAGCAGCACGGAGGCCCAGCGGGCGGAGGTCATTAACTTGAATTCATCGGAAGAATGTTTGGTGAAAAAGGGCGCCGCCCCAGGTGCCGATGCGGACTGCACCGTGGTAACATCCACCACGATCTGTGAACCTCCTGCTGCCGTTAGTGCTCGCAAGCCACCGCCTCTTAAGATCAGCAAGCGGGGCATCCTGCTGCACAACTCGTCCTCGGCTGGTGAAGGCAGCAACTTTACACTGACCGAGCAGAGTCTCGGTGAGGTGATTGGCGAGCGTTTTGCCCGCAGATATCTCAAGTATCACGTGGGCAGTCGCACCTTTGACAGCAGCCATTCCGTTTACTATCGACCCACGGCAAAGTTGGCCGAAGCCTTGAAGGCGGCTTCCATGGATACACAGTTGCTCGCTGATTTATCGACTTCCGGTTCCAGTGATGATGATGTGTTTGATCAGATTCACAAATACGGGGACGTGTACAGTGTGGCCGAGAACGCCGTTAAGCATAAGGACTAAGGACTAGGAACTTTGTTGGTCCAATATCGATTGCAGGCTTCCAATTCGATCTTAGATATATCCTTGCAAAGGCTCTCTCTAGGTTGAAATTGTATTTCTTTGAGTTTTGATTTTTATTTCACGTAAATTACATGTCGATAGTGATAATAGAAAACATAATATGTCATAATCATCATTAATGTTCGCTTAAGTATTAAATAATTGTTTAAGAGATTTATTCGCATTGCAATAGTAATATTTTGTGTGCCCAAGAAGAAGTGTTTTCTGTTTAAGTTCGTTTCCATTCGGTTTATCCAAAAATATATATGTATCGGCTATTATTGTTAAGTTTATGTATGTATTCACAAGAAGAAAAAAACAAATAAAACATAGGATCAAGATTTTTAAGAAAATGGCGCGTCGAGAAAAGAAACCAGAAGCTTCGTCCTTCCATGTATGTAGATATGTATGTACAAATAACAAAAAGGCTTACCTAAAATATGGTGATATTATGTATCAATCAAGAATAATTAAAATTAAACAAAGAGAGGCGTTAATATGCGATGATGAAAACAAGAATAAACACACGACTGACTGACGGATCTTTTTACCCCTGGAACATGCGCGCGCCCTGGAACACATACACATGCGAAGAATATATCTACACGTACACATATGCCTGGCCGGCCTAGCTTCATATACATATAGCGCTCTCCTCCCTCCCTACACATCGATCTGGAATGGGGAGCCGGGCACATGCTCCTCGCCCCACTTGATTAACAGCACATACTGTCCGCGATCACGCACCACATAGTGCACATTGTAGTTGTTGTGGCCAGCATGCTTGACGTGGAGCTCCTCGCAAGGACCCTTCGGTCCGTACATGCCAACGTACAGGATGTTGTTGCCTGCAAGGAGAGATTATATTCAGTTAGTGTCTCAAGACCTCGAGTATAGTGGCTTCTCCAACTCACCCGCATCGGTGGCACAGATGGTGAACTGGTTCTGTTTGCCAATGTAGGCCTTCTTCAGGCCCATACCCTTGGACTCCACTTTGTTGGCATCCGACTTAAATGTGGGCAGATGGACGCCCGTTTTCTGACCGCCCTTGGCCACCTTGTGAACCGTCTCAACGGTCACCGTCGACGTCTCCTGAGCGCCCTCATCGGCCAGCTTATCGCCGATGGCGTTGATCTTGAATGGTGAGCCCACGATGTGCATGTTGTTGTACTTGACCGTGATGTAATGCTCGCCGGGCAGCAGAGGAGTGTAGCGCACCTTGTAGCCCTCCTCCACCTCTGTGCAGTCCATGGCCACCTTGGAGGGTCCGTCAATGGAGACGGCCAGAGTGCCAACGCCTGCATTGCAGGTGTTGATGATGAAGTCGGCCTTGTGGCCAGTCTTCACCTCATCCAGGCCATTGCCGCTGGCATGGACGGCGGCTGGATCGGCAACATCCTTACCGACCTTGATTCTGAACGGAGAGTCGGGTATGTGGACGCCGTTAAACTTGACGTGGATGGCATGGATACCGTTCTCGCGCGGATAGAAGCGCACCGAAACCATCTCGCTGTCGATAGCCTGGATGAAGCAATCGTCGTCCGTGCCGGACGGAGCCACGATCTTTGCATCCAGTTCACCCTTTGCGCCGTTCTTGCGCACCATGAACTGGTAGGGGGCATCCGGCAGGATGTTGCCCTGCGGGAACTGCTGCACCTCCAGCTTGTGGGCATCACCGGCGTCCGGTGAGATGTATACCTTGAATGGCGAGTCGGGTATGTGGCGGTCGTTGAACTTGAGACCGACGCGGTACTCTCCGGGCTCGGTCACCTTGTAGGACACATCGCAGCTGCCGTCCTTGCGATCCTTGAACTCAATGTCCGCCTTGCTGGGACCCTCCACGGAAATGGCCAGGGAACCGCCGCCCGCCTCGCGGGTCCACACATTGAACTCGGCCGCCTCACCGACGACGCCGCGCTCCAAGCCCGAGCCTCCGGCCTTGACCAGATGGCTGCCAGAGTCACGCAGAGGTCCCACGGTGAACTGGAAGGGAGAGCCGGGTATATGCATCTCGGAGTAGCGCACGGACACCGTGTGCACGCCCAGCTCCTTGGGCACAAAGTGCACCGAATAGAGGCCATCCTCAACCTCCTGAATCTCTGCATCCTCGGTGACATTGCTGGGTGAGGTGACGCAGGCAGCTAGATCAAAAGAGGTGATGCCGGGCATTTTGAACGTCAGCTTGCACTGGCTTCCGATCTCCGTGATTGGGACAGCATCACGATCCCGCTGGATCTTCTCACGCTTGCGGTTACTGCCCTCGCCGGCCACTTTGACGGTGAAAGGTGATCCCTCCACGTGGTGATCGGCGAACTTCAGGTTCACAATGTAGTAACCCGGCTCCGTGGGCTTGTACGAGATGTTCAGGGTGCCATCGTCCTTGTCCGTGCACTGGATCTCCGCCTTGCTAGGACCCTCAATGGAGACCGAAAGGCCGCCGAAGCCAGCATTGCGCGTGTCCACGGAGAAGATGTTGTCGGCATGCGTTTGGCCATCCTTGAGTCCGGCTCCGCTGACCTTCACCTTCTTGGCATCACCCACCTCACGCTCGCACACGGTCACCTTGAAGGGGGAGTTGTTGATGTGCTTGCCCATGCGCTTCACCGACACCAGATGTTCGCCGGTCTCACGGGGCGTGAACGAGATGCCAATGTTGCCGGTGGGCATGCGCTTGAGGAAGCAAGGCTCCTCCAGGCCACTGGGAGCCTGGATGGAGGCATTCAAAGCACGCAGATCGTCGTCGGTGATGTCGCCGGGCATGGTGACCTCGGAGCAGGAGCCCACAGAGATCTGGTTACGCTTGCGACCCTCACCGGTGATCTTGGCAAAGTACGGTGATCCCTTGATGTGCCTGTCGCCGAAACGAACCGACACCTGGTACTCTCCAGGGGCAGTGGGCAGGTATTGCACGGAGACGGTGCCGTCTTTGTTGTCATGATAGTTAATGGTCGCCTTGCTGGGTCCCTCGACGGCCATGGTCAGGCCACCGGCGCTGGCTCCCTTGGTGGAGATGGTAAAGTTGGCCGGCTCACCGGTGACACCGTGGGTCAGACCGGGACCATAGGCGGTCACGAATCCGGAGGTGATCGAATCCACATGGAATTTGAAGGGAGATCCTGTAAAGTACAGCAAATTAGCAAATCTATATGGTAAGGGGAATCTTTAGGTTCCACTAACCTTGGACAGGCTCTCCATTGTATTTGACCACCAGTTCATGGGATCCCTCCTCGCGGGGATCGTACTTGACAGAGACAGTACCATCACGGTTGTCCTGAATCACGGGTTTGTCTATTTTACCGCTCGGCATTTTGACTTCAGCTGTAAAGTAGAAATAGGTTTTGGTTAGTTTTTATATTATTTTTTAAATTAGTATTTGAAAACACAATGAAGAGTATATTGTTCCTATATCGCCTCAGGAATTTGGAAGTAATTAAATATAAATTAACGAAAAGAGATTAGAAATATGATGTGTTTGTGGGTACAAAAAGGACAGCTACCCGGTATCCAAAGCATGATTAAATTATTTTATTTTTTTTGTATACTCTTATTTATTGTAAGCTTTGTAGAATTACTTCAATTTAACATGGTAGCAAAGGGAGCAGAAAAATGATGCTATGCCAATGTTGCAGAAACATGTTGCGCATGTTTTTGAAGAAGTTTGTTTTGAGTTACATTTTTGAAAAATAATCGAAATATGTATAACATACTAATACATTTTTAATTGTATATAAGTGTATTTATCTTTTTACAGAAATTCACACATTGTGCTTAAAAAATGTTTTAAATAATTTGTGTAAGCTGTAAACCTAAAAAACTTTTGATACCAAATGTGGTATTTCTAGCTCTTATAGTCTCTCAAAACTATTGTTTCAAACTGATTTATGGTTAGCAATAAGCTATAATTCCCATATACCAAACTATGTGTACCAAGTATAAAAAAATATATATTTTATACCGAGTCCATCGAAGAAAAACTCTATTTTGGAGACTCATTTTTAATGGATGTGTTTTGTATACAGGGGAATTATGTCACGAAAAAAGCATTTTTCAAATCATTTGCGTGGGCGATCTGGATCGCCCAGAAGTTTTAAAAGAATCATAATTTCATTTTTATGTTCGAATTTGCGTGCCATTTTTTTTATGAATATATTCCACAACCAAAAATCTATTTCTGTGTTGCCTCTGCACACAGATCTAAAAGATCGAAGAAACAACCGACGCAGCAGCAAAAAGTAAATTAATTGGAACAAATGTTATATGCCAGCAACGAAAGAATTCCAAAGACTTGAACAGGATATCGTATAACTATGGCGCACACTGTCACTGCCAATAAACTGATAAATTCATTTCGATATAAATATATTTCCATCGAATATTTCACAATATTTTCACACTATTTCCACGTACTTTTCCTCTGCTATGGAGACACACCCACAAATGTGTATATGTATATATATTTAAAGAGTTTGCTTGAGTATCCTTGGGTTTGTTGCTGATCCTTGGCTACACTTGGGAGCCGGATTTGAAAATCACTTCTCTACTGTACGAATGCTGTGCATCGACTGAGTGGCCAGTAATCTTGGGGCTTTCCAAAGAAATTTCCACCAACGCCTACAATTGCTTTTATACATTTTTCCCACGCCATCAAGCGCGACAGAGAGATGAAAACAACAGCATCTCATTCCTGAATCTCGCTGAGGTCAAATATAGGACATGGTTTTTATGTTCCTCCCCTATGTATTTCCTCTACATAATCACATAGGCACACATCTTCCTCCCAAAAAACAAAAATCAAAATACAAAACCCACTAAAAGTATATGACAAATGCATAAAAAATCTATTTATAAATTAATATATCTCTAGCAATATGCTGGAGAGATCTCTTAATATTGCACGTGTCTGAATTTATATTTAAATCTCGATATATATTTATATTCGGGAAGAATCTTCTTATATACTGCAGTAAATATTCGGATATATACAGT